AATGGACTTGGGTAATAGGTTCGAGTTTGGGCATAAAAAAATTTGGACTAAGGTGATTTTATGCAAATTTTAAATTTGTTTAAAGTTAAAAGATGAAAAATCTCGTCTCGAAACTGCCTTGCTGCTTTGTTGGGACACGCGGCCCGTGGCTTAGATTTTTCGGAGCAAATTTCCATCGTTACTAATTTTTGAATGAAAAACAAGAGATCAATGTCCATTCTTATAGAGTACCATGTACTTTCCATTCACAAAGAATCATTGGTATAGATGCCATATAAAGATGCTTTGCAGTAGGCCTGGACATCAAAACTATTGAATAGAAATTGAATCGAAATAGGAGGTTTCAGTCCGGTTCCAAAAATAAATAAATTAGGAACTGAAATCAAGAACTGACTAGATCCAAATTGGTTCTTATTCCTTGAACTAGAATTGTGAATACTCGAATGGAACCTATTCTTTATATAATTTTTTAGTTTTTACAATTTATAGGTTGGGTAAAAAAATTTAGAAAGTAATTAACTTAAACACTAAATAGGTTGTGGATCTGGATTGGGTTGCGAGTTATAAATAAAACTCGACCAGCCTAGCTCGACCCAGTCAATAAAAAAATACAAAACCTAGAAACTATAATTATTGTCTAAAACTCTAAAGGCTCTAACACTAAGAAATCAAATTATTTGCTTGATTCAGGATAAGGATGTGTTGACCATTACTGTTGACAATGTAAATGTAAATGATACGACAATCATTTATGTGAAAGAAAATTTGAAGAATTGAAAAGTCGATCGCATGATTTTGGGTGGTGTTTAGTAACTTGTTTGATTTTAAACACGTTCTAGAATATTTGATCTTTAATGCTTGATTTGACCGCTATGTACGAGAACATGGCATCGCAAAATACTCAAACCAACATAGACCAAAGGGAAAACATGATGAAGATGATTGTCTAGCCGTCACACATAGTGCCTCACACATTCGACAGGAAAATTCGAGGAGTATCTTTTTCATTTTCTTCCTCATCCTCTTATATTTTTACTTATATTTTATGACATTGAGGACAATATTTGGGGGTGGGAAAACTTTGAGTTTTTACTTTTAGTATTTTTTTGAGTGTTTGTGTATTTGTTTTTGCTTTAGTATATATAATAAATAAATATTTTTTTATTAGGCTGTGTGCTTGTGTGGATATAATGCATGCTAGACTGATTGAGACTTAACCTTACAAAACTTGATATTATACGTGCACTAGAATTAAGTAGGACAGTGTGATGTTATGAGTTGATTCATATAATTGATAGGTTGATATAGTTGGACATAGATGCTTAACCCAAATCATACTAAATTATTTATCCTCAGATCAAATTTAACACAGTTCGGGAGTGATTTTGCTGTTGTAGGAAGATGCGGATGTGGACAGGGATTCCATGTGTGAAAAATTTTGCGTGGATTGTCTTAGACTAAAGGGATAAAATTGGGCGAAAATTTTAAGTTAGACGTCGGTTTGCTTGAATATGTATTTAATGAGGGGTATTGTACTAATCAGGGTAGAAAAATATATAAAAGACATCTCCTCGTAACTTTTATGACTTGAATTATTAAGTCTGTTAGGGTATTTACAACCGGTGCCCTAAAATCGTTTGATTTGAGAGTCATCGTCTAAAAATATCGTTACATAGGACATATAGAAAGTTTAAGGAAAAGAGAGTGCAAACAAAAAAAAAAAAAATTGAAAAAAAAATAGTTGTATGAAACAGAAGATGCACAAAATGCCCTGGTAAAATCTCAAACACTTATTTGAGAAGACTTGCCTTTTGATGAAAAATTATTAGCATAGTCTAATCCTAGAGTTCGAAGCAGTCAAAGAATTGGAGAATCCTTATTTATTGATGTGTTGACTTATAATTAGTAGAGTCCACCTGAATTAGAGATACGATGATAGTAATGAAAAATTCAACCTTAAATTATACAATGTAAAAAGATTGAAAAAAGAACAAGTTTGGAGGTGTGTGAATCATGCGAGAGGTGAAATGATATCTTTGAGCACAGAGGGTCGAGAATTGAAGTAACTAGTAAATTCATAATTTTCTACTTAATTCTTCACACACATATGTCGGTTTTGTATTGGAAGAGTGGATATTGGTTTGGAATTGTGTCTTTGAAACAATTTGTATATTTAATACTGTAATTTGAAATACTTAGATAAAAAGTTAGATTGTCTAACCAAATATTTTTGCATACTTGTGTGTTTGTTGTTATTTAAGTTATAATTTTGTTTGAAAACAAACAAATGTTTAAGTTTAGAGGTATTTGATAAGTGTATTTTATACACTTATTTGAGATCTAAAATAGCGATATTTGATAGTTCTTCTAACAAAAAATATTCTAAATTGTTGTATTTTATGTTATATAGGTAAACTCAATGGTTGAACAAGAAATCGAAAGAAAGAAGTGAAAAATGGTGAAAAGGGCAAAATCCAAAGTTTGAGAACCAAATTGTAATTGTTCAATAGTTGATTAGGACACAGGAAGATACTTTGAATATTTTTAGAAGACAATTGGATGAAATTAGAACTCAAAAAGGAATGAAATATGATCAAAATCAATTTCGAATCGTACAAGTTATATTCCAGATTTTTAGCTAAATATTGAGACCCATTTTTGGCATAATAAATGTTCGAATTGGAAAAATTATATTTCTAAAAGATTTGTATCCCTTTGATATGGATTTCCAACACACTTTGAATCGCTTCAATCGAATATCGGGAGAGAAAGTTATGACCAAAATACTACTGACTGATGTGTAGAGACAAAAAATTCGCTCTCGAATATGACTTTTCTTATTCATTGGAACTCTTTTGGAAATCAATTTGGACGTGATTTTCAACCAATTTTCTAATCCCATAAATACCTGACAGCAGAATACATATGTGGGACCTTTGATATACATTTTATACTCCAATATTCATCAATTATTATAATCAAAGGAGGAGAATTCATAGTTTTTGTGAGAGGATTGAAGGAGATTTACAATGATTCAATCAAGTAAAGATTCAAATCTTATTTTGGGCAAAGAAGAGAAGCGTAAGTGGAGATTCTTCAAGAAACCATTGAAGAGATTCAAAATTTCAAGATTCACTTTTATCTTCTCAATTAATCAAAAATCTGAGTTGTATATTTTCACTTAAATCTGATTTCTTATAATTTCGATATGTTAGGTTAGTTTTATACGTTGCTAGGATGATATGAACCCTTGTTTTGAAATTTTTAATATTAATTAATTATTTTGACGACTAGTATGTTTATTTTCTTGGATGTTTATTATTATTTTCACTGACTTTTTAATTAATTAGCTACTAATTGAGATGATTTATTAGAATCTATTATTATCGAGAGAGATAATAGATGTTTAGCTAAAAATAATAAATATTGTAAAGTTCGATAGGGGATAGAGATATACTTCTATGCTTTACATGGTTTTCATATGTGTTCTAGATCGTTTAATACATTTAACATGTTCGCATCTTTCATCGAGAGATAGGAATACATGAGGGGAATTGATTTGATAACTATCGAGAGAGATTTTCATTTAAATTAGGAACACTGACCAACAAAATTGATTACAAATTGTCACTTTAATTCGTTGTGCTAAAAATGAATTAACACAGGGAATTCAACATCTTAGTAATACTTTCACATATTTGAAATCAAACCAGATAAATTGCTTTATAGTTTAATCGATAATTTATATATTAGTATAGAAAACTCAAAATCTATTTGCTATTCGTTTAAGGTTACTATTAATTTGAACTCGATTGGATATTTAGTTCTCGTGGGTTCGACACTTTCAACATTACTATATTACTTGTTCACGATCTCGTTCACTTGCGTTTAATTGTTACACTAAAAATGGAATAATAAGGGGATTCGACATCTTAGCAATGCATCTCACATATTTGAAAAACACATTTACTTACTTTCTAGTTTAATAGATAATTTAGATATTAGTATAGAAAACTCAAAATCTATTTGCTATTCGATTAAGGGTACTATTAATTTGAACTTGGCCAAACACATAGTCCTCGTGAATCCGATACTCTATTCATCATTATATCACTTGACCACAATCCCATGCACTTGCGAGTTTTTAAAGGATCACTTGTTACGTACAAGTATTGAAAGGGCTTGTGAGGAAATGTTTATTAAGCCCATTAGATCCCCCTTTTTTACATAATACATTTTTTTCTATCTTCTTTTCAATCACACATTTTTCAATAAAATAATATTACACACAAGTCAGAAAAATTTCCTTCATTTTTAACTACATATTCTCTATCAATTTACTATTTCGAAATGTATTCTATACTAAAAATGGGGCTCACATAGATAAATGTGTTACAAAAATGTCATGGATAGAATCGGAATAGGACTGATGGTTCGAGTTTGGATTTGATTTTGTTTACGAAATATCCTAGATGTAAGGGATAGTTCCAGGTATTGAAGTATCCGGACCAACCCCAACCAATTCCCGACCCCAGGTCTACTTCGCAGTTAAAGCAATGCTCATCAAGAAGATATATATACTGAGAACGAATGGTAAAATTAACACTTTTTCAAGGACAAGATTGGTTTTATTGAAATTTTAGCTGTCAAAAGGAATAAATACTGTCTCCTACAAGACAGACAGACCAATAATAGCTTGGAGCCAAATATCTTCTTTTTGTGGTCTTGATTCTTCTTAGGATAAATTCATATGTACATAATTATTGTATATAATGGATTACATAAACTCGTGTAAAAGAAATTCGATCATGGATGTGAAGCGTGAAAAAGTCAAAATTTGTAAACTACCGATAGATGAGCCCCACATATCAATTATATAACGTATTATGTAAATGATTATGTACTTGTAGCTTGATCTTCTTTTTATTGAGAAACAGTTTCACATGTTTCATTCACATTACAATATTCAATATTGTACAAATCAAAAAACTTCTAGATTCATGGAGAAAATTTGCTTCCTCGTTGCTGCTGTTGCAGTGTTATCAGTGAACTGCTTTGCTCTTTACTCAAATACAGATGAAGAAGCACTTCTTGCCTTCAAAACCCGAATCACTTCAGACCCTTATGGCATCTTGGCCGATAACTGGTCGAATACTGCATCAATTTGCAACTGGGTTGGTGTTTCTTGCAGCAGAAGTCAGCAAAGAGTCACAGCCTTAAATTTTTCGGGGTTTGGCTTCACAGGCACCATTTCTCCACATCTTGGAAATTTAACGTTTCTCCGTTCTTTAGATATCAGCACCAACGATTTTCACGGGATAATACCCCCCGAGCTATCCAATTTGCTACGTTTAGAGAAGATAAACGTGGGATTTAACAGCTTCATTGGAGAGGTTCCTTCATGGTTTGGAACCTTACCCGAACTTCAGCATATTCTTCTGCGTAACAATAGTTTCACAGGCGGCATCCCGCCATCTTTATGCAACAATTCAAAGGTACGAATACTGGAGATGGGTTACAATTTCATAAACGGAAATATTCCACAAGAGATTGGGAATCTTTCTGCCCTCGAAGTATTATATTTAAGGTTTAACCAGCTTACGGGGTCCATACCTTTTGGTATCTTCAACATATCTTCTCTGAAAGCACTTGATCTCACGCATAATAGCCTGTCAGGAATGCTTCCGGAGAATACATGCGATAGTGTCCCGAAATTGACCGGACTCTATCTCTCGAACAATCTACTCTATGGGCAAATTCCATCAAAGATATACAAGTGCAGGTACCTCGAGGACCTATCATTATCCTACAATCATTTCAATGGAACCATACCAAGTGCAATTGGCAGCTTGACCATGCTCAGGAGGTTGTTTCTGGGGATAAACAACTTTGAAGGTATGATCGCATAATTATATTTCAAGACACTATAAGAATGCAGGAAGGAAATATTGTCGAACAACCCCATTAAAAAGCTTAGAGGCATGTTTGGCAAAGCTTTTATTAGATTATAAGTTGGGGGTCCTACAAAAATATGGGGCAATAAGTGGAATAAAGTAGGTAAAAGTTATGGATCCTACGTAATATATGGATAACAATAGAGTTTGATCAGTTTACAAACAACGAAAATGTTCTCCTGCCCGCGACGGGCAAGCTTATCCTGCCCGCCTGCTGATGTGGCAGGAGAACCCTACGTGGGTTTCTCTCCAAATGTGAGAACCCCACGTTGGGTTCTCTCCGAGTGGGCATTATAAGCTTGCTCGCCGCGGGCAGGAGAACGGGACTGGTAGAGTTATCCTGCCCACCTGCTGATGTGGCAGGAGAACCCTACGTGGTCCAAATGTGAGAACCCCACGGTGAGTTCTCTCCGAGTGGGCATTATAAGCTTGCTCGCCATGGGCAGGAGAATGGGACTGTTACAAACAATTACAATCTTTGCCAAACATGCATAAATGCAAGTACATGAATAGAGTTATCATAAGAACCTAATGTAAACATAAATGTAAATTGAGTAATACTTGTACAAAATCATTTCTAGTGAATTTTTCTTTTTTTTTTTTGCATGGAAAATGATTTTTTTTTTTTTTAAAGAACTTCAACTTTTATTTATAAAGCCTCACTTGTGGCGGAGGAAAGCCGTGGTTACAAGCCAAATAAAACTACCTAATTTTTTCCAAACTACATGTAAACTAAAACAACATTGGAATATTTGAAGTCAAACTGTGGGGAGAAAAACCTCTTAAATGGGGAATGCCCAGTTTATCCATACGCAAAGCTCCTCTGACTGATGATGAAACAGCGATAGAATCCATCCAAATTTGTGAAACACTAGACGCTCCCATCTTTGACAGGATATCAGCTACCGAATTACCCTCTCGATGTATGTGTTGAACTCTACATGAGATGATACACAAAAGATATTTTATTTCTTCCCAGTAATCCTCTAAAAACCAAATACCACAAACCTTCCTCTTTAGCCAATTAACAATAATCAATGAGTCCAGCTCCACTTCAAGTCGGTTAATCCCCATCCTTTTAGAATGTCGGAGCCCATGTAATAATGCTAGTAGTTCAGCACCATTATTTGTACCCTCATCGAGCTTTTCAGCAAAGGCAATAACAGTATCACCATTCTCATTCCTAATAATACCTCCAGCACCACAAATTCCAGGATTGCCCAGGCAACATCCATCAGTATTGAGTTTGTACAACCCCTGCATTGGTCGTTGCCATCTCACTACTTTACATTTTTCCTTTTTAATCGATTTTACTGGTATGTTAAGTTCCTTCAGCACCCATTCATCTCTTCTGTTTAAAGTTCTCGCTTCTTTTAGCTTTAAGCCCACCCAAGAAATCTAAACTTTTATCTTTTTCCAAGTAGCGTCTATAGGTTCCATCCTTCCCTCCATCTTGGCTGAACATCGCCACATCCATAAATGCCAGCAAATAATACTAGGAATAATACCTATCAGAGTACCTTTATGTGATGTTTGTTTTGCTCTTCGGAACCAAATTTCTACACGCTCTCTCCATCCTCGAGTCTGCATGCATCGAATTCTTAGTAAAGTTGAACATTTCAGCCAAATTTAGTGAGCCACGTTCCCCAAGGCCAAGACGTGATTTTGATCCTCATACCCCCCTTCCCGCAAGCAACACATACACTTTGATACAATGGGGATACCAGCTTTACGAATTTTGTCATCTACCGAAAGACCTCCCTTCATGGCTAGCCACATATTTAACGAAATCTTCTTCGGTAAGGTTGGGTGCCAAATCCATTCATGCCACTGTGATATATGCCCCTGACGTCTTATAGCTTCCCAAGCACTTTTTGCAGAAAATCTTCCATCCAAACTTTCAGTCCAAATCAGTCTATCTTTGCTTGTCTCAACTTTTCCCAGTTTAGCAAGAACCTCTCCCGCTTGATCTCTCCCAACAAGTTCCTCTATCATATTTTCATTCCACCCGTTGTCATTTTTAAGTTCTTTGATCAAGATTTTAGGTTGGTCAACAAATAGCCTCCGATCTCCCAAAGGATTCATATTTGACCATCTATCCTACCAAAATGATACGCCACCTTCCTTCACTCGCCATCTAGATCGATTGAGAACATCTGGCATGCAGCTCATAACCATCTTCCAGAATCTTGACCCCTTAGTAGCATCCACCTGAGATACGTGCTTGTCCTTGATATATTTTACCCTAAAAAATGTTGACCAAAGAGATGTTTCAGTCAAAATTTTCCAAGCAAATTTCATGTGTAAGGATAAGCGCACTTCCTGTAGACTACGAAGCCCAGCTCTTCCTTCTTTAACAGGCATACAAACTTTGTCCCATGCTATCCATTTCCTCTTAGGCTTTCCATCCGCGTAGCCCCAGAAGAAATCACTAAATATTCTGTTGATAAGTTTTAAAATCGAAGCTGGTGCTTTAATACAAGAAAACAGATGAAGAGGCATGCTCGTAAGGACATGCCTCAAAAGCAGAAGTCTGGCCCCCTTAGATAACACCCTGCTTTACCAACCTGCCAATCTCATACGAATTTTTCCAACCACGTCTTCAAAATCTTGTGCTCTGAATCTTCCAGTGATTATAGGGACCCCTAAGTACTTGAAAGGGAATTTACCTTCTGTGAATCCAGTGAGTCGTAAGAGCATCCGCCTTCTTGACATGGTGATCCGTTTAGAGAAAATAATGGAGGTTTTATCAACACTGACAACCTGTCCCGACCATTCTTCATATTTTCGGAAGACCTCCTTAATAGATCTTAAAGATTTTTTCCCACCATTCGCAAATATTACAATGTCATCCGCATACAATAGATAAGAAATAAGTGGAGCCCCTTTTGGTGAAGAAAAAGATTTTATGCTTCCATCTTCATATTTAGCTCTCAACATTCTGGATAAAACTTCTTCTACAATAATAAAAAGAAAATGAGATAGAGGATCCCCTTGCCTTAAACCCCTTCCTCCTTGGAAGAAACCCTTCATAGTTCCATTCATCACCACAGAATACCTAGGAGTAGTAAGACACTGTCTAACCAAATCACAGATCTTGGAGGAGAAACCAAAAGACTTCAATACGTGCATAAGAAAGTCCCAATCAATACTATCGTACGCTTTGGCAATATCCACTTTCAGGACTACATTTCCACCCCTCGCCGGCTTGTAAAGGTTGTGAATCATCTCTTGAGTCAAAGTAATATTATCAAAGATACTTCTCCTGGAATGAAAGCACCTTGCTCCATAGAAATAATTCTTGGTAAAATTAAAGCTATTCGATTTACCAGAATTTTCGGCCAGACCTTATATATTACTGAACCTAAACTAATAGGCCTGAACTTGTCAAAACTCGAAGGGGAATCAGTTTTAGGAATAAGAACCACATAGGAGGAAAAGTAAAATCTAGGAATATCCGTACCTTAAAAAAATCGCACACTGCCTCCACGACATCCTCACCCACTATATCCCAACAAGATTTATAGAATCCCGAGCCAAATCCATCAGGACCAGGGCTACTGTCAGTTGGTATAGAAAAAACTGCATCTTTGACCTCCTGGGGTGTAGGTAATCTCCCAATTTCCTCGTTCTCTGCCTCAGAAATAATTTGTTGAATCCAAGCTGATAGGTCAGGTTGGTCTCTCCTGGGTCTAGCTCCTAAGATATTTTGAAAGTAATCAACCACAGCATGATGGATGGCCTCATGATTATCAAGCATTGTACCATCCGTAAGTCTCATCTCCTTGACCCTGTAAGAGGTCCTGCCATTAAATTACTTAAAAAACTGATTACTGACTTCACCTTTCTCAATCCATCTCTGCTTTGCTATTTGTGCTAGGCGCATTCCTTCTCTCTTCTCCCAAGTGTCAAGTTCAACTTTAGTAGCTAAGTATGTATACTTGATCTCCTCCGAGTGAGACACTTGTAGGCTAGCATCCAACTTTTCTAACTCTTTTTCCAGCCTCTGGATGTGTTCTTGAGTCCATCCAAACACATCTTTGTTCCATATCCGTAATGCAGTCCTCAACCTTTTAAGTTTTCTAGTTAGGCGCTATAAACCACTATCACCTGAGTTCCCTTCCCATATCGTTAGCACATAATTCTTAAAGCTCTCATGTGTAGTCCACATTTGTTGGAATTTAAACGGAGTAGGGCCATAACGAACCATATTAGTCTGCAGCCATATCAGCATTGGTGCATGGTCCGATGTGGTACGAGCTAAATACCTCATATGAAGATTTGGAAATTCCTCCAAGCAATTAGAATCATACAAAAGTCTATCCAGTTTAGCCCAACTCCTAGACCAGCCTGTTGACCATTGCACCAGGAAAAAGGTTCCCCACCATCTGGCGGTATCTCCATCAACCCACAATAGTCAATAAACTGATTAAAGTCCTCCATAGCACCCATAGGTTGAGGTCGGCCTCTACGCCTTTCCGAGTTGTTTCTGATACTATTAAAATCTCCAACCACCACCCAGGGAATATGTGAATGATTCAACTTTGCTAATTCAGACCAGAGCAGTCTTCTTTCTACAACTGTGCATTTCACATATATAAAAGAAACTAACATCCGGTAATTACCTTCTATCACCGGTGATTTGCTGATTACTTTTACTTATCAAATTAACATGAACTTCATGACCCCACATGATCCATAGTTTACCCTCCATGTCGCTGTTCGATAACCCAAAATTAAACTTTAGTTTCCTTTGTAAAATGTTCATTCTATCCACTGTTTGCCAAGGCTCTACTACCGCTACTACTTTCGGCTTATACCACCTCACCAACTTACATAACCTGCGTGTCGAGGTCCTTATACCTCGCACGTTCCAAAAAAGATAGTTGCAACTCATAGATCAAGTCTAAAGGGTCTGCTTGGAACCCTAGAGGAGCTTCTGACCTTATGTACTGTTTTCCCTGGGTGCCCTTTGGCCCTTTGTTCAAAATCTGAAATGCAATCACAAATATTTCCAAGTTCCTCCACCATTCCTTCCACCTCTTTATCTGACATTGTCATAGCCTCATCTGCACCACCATGGTCCCTAGAGTCCTCTTGTAATTCCTCAACAATGTCTTGGACACCTTGATCTTCATCTGCCCTTACCGTTATGTGCGTGGCCATAATATTTATTTTTTCGTTACCTTCGATTGTGACTACCATATCTTCATTTAAGAGTATATCTCTGTCCTCTATTTCTCCTTCTTCCCTATCTTGCTTCCCATCTACCAAATAGGCCCTATCTAAAGATTTTACGTGAGTGTCTCCTCCAATCTTAGCAACTTCAATCCCACTAGTTTTCGAGACTACAGTGCTGATTTCAACCATATTGTTCTCTCTCCCCAATTCAGTCTCCGTTACATCCATTTTCTCCTTATCATTATCTACAAATGGAGTTATTCCTCTACTACTTTCACCAACCTTTCCTATATCATCACGTCCTTGTTCGTGAATTATGCCACTAGAAACACTAGCACCCAACTTAGCCATATCTCCAGCCTCTTGTACATATCTTTTTTCTAATCCTACACCACTACTTCTCCATTTTTTTTTCCTCCACTCTTGTTTTTCCGGGCCAATATTAACGACTTTCTTCATTTTCTGCTTCTCATGGAATTGTTGACCCACTCTACAAACAGCCTCTGTGTGACCTTGCCTCCTGCACTTTTTACAATAGAATCCAAGTTTTTCATATTTAACACGTTGCCAAAGGGTAGTCGAACCCACTGTGATCGGAAAGCATTCTACCGCATCAGCCAATAGATCAATTTCAACACATATACGAGCACCAGAGGCCCGTGTGCGGTTTAACGTAGCATGATCAGTTCCCAAGTATCGGCCGAATCGCGATGCTCGGATGCGAAGGCAGCTTGGTCGGTAGAGATGCAGCGGAAGCCCAGGTAAAAAAATCCATTGAGGAGCCAGTGATGACTCCCTATGAAAATCAAAATCTGGAGTCCACTTGAATAATCTGAATGAAGCACCAGCCACAAATCTACCTTCTCTAGCCCAGGCAACCAAAAAATCTCCCTCATTTTTCATCTTAACCAAAACGTGTGAAGCATCCATATGACTAACCACAGGAACCTCCCGCAGCCCCCAAGTTCTAGCTATGGCCTCTCGAACCAAATCAAAGTTCGGTCTAAAGGATAGGAATTTAAGGATTAAGGCAAATTTGAAATCCTCAGCCAACCGCTTTACCTCAACATCAGTGAAGATGAAGCCCAGTTCTCCTTCAATCAATTCTGGCCTCCGCAGTTGCAGCGGTGGAGTCGCCGAAATTTCCCCACCCACAGGTTGTTTAGCAGCCTCCAAGAAAGATCTTCCTTGTTGGACACCGTTCGCCAGTACCGTCGATGTCTTGCCCATCGTGCCCGTTGTTACCGGAAGGCCTAGCCAGGGAGGCGCCGTCACTTCCACGGTAGCCAGAAGGAAACCCTAGCTCAATCGCCCAAATCGCCCAAAATCGCCTCCGTTATTCTCTCTGTCACCAGGAAAGGAAAGTTTTTCATTTCTAGTGATTACATAGCATTATATTAAAATTTAACTAATTTTCTTTTCTCCCTTTTTTCCTCATTTTCTCTCTTTCAAATGGTTTTTTTCTCTTTCTCTGTGCATCAATCTATAAATAATTATGTAGAAGTAGCATTATACTCATGTAAATTTGATTTAACAATTGGCATTGTGTTGTAAAACAATGTACAATGAAAATTTTCTTGCCTTTGACTATTTTTCAGGAGGAATTCCATTGGAAATAGGCAATCTTTCACGTCTGGAAACATTGAGTGTACAAGGTGGCTCTCTAACAGGGCCATTTCCATCTTTTGTCTTCAACATATCTTCTCTGAAAGTGATTGACTTTGATAACAATAGCTTGTCTGGAAGCCTCTCAGTTGACATTTATCATAAGCTTCCTGAACTCGAGGAGCTGCATCTTAAATCCAATCAGCTAACTGGCCTAACTCTTTCAAACATTTTGGATTTTAAAAGGCTTTGGTGGATATCATTGTCAAAAAACAAACTTACGGGTGGTGTACCTGCAAAAGTTGGAAACCTCACTGGGCTGAAGTATCTATATCTTGCTAATAACAGATTGACAGGTATGTTCGACTGCTTTCACATCGTCAACTTTGAATGATGATAATATTACAATGATTTTTGAAGATACTATTTCCCTCATGAGAAAAGAAGCTTGGAAACTCACTACAACAAAAACAGTCTACGGCAACGTTTTTTAACGTTGCCAAAGACCTTTTACAACGTTTGAACGTGTGTTGCAAATCGAGATGTTATTGTAGAGCGGACTCCTACGGCAACGTTTTTTAAACGTTGCCGTACGGGGTCTACGGCAACGTTAAGGTGCCTTTTTTTTTTTTAACAACAATTTATGCAAATTGATTAGCAAAAATTAAAAATAACTCCTTATGAATAAATTTTGGAATTGCATAAAAATTGATAATTTCATTACAAATTTTTGAATCTATACACTTGAACATTGGAATATGATACAACACCACCTACATAAAAAAGAGTTTCAAAATAAAATAAAATTAGAGGAATCCAGCACCAAGTCTACATCTCTCTCCAAACAAAAGTTACTAGTCACAAACTACCCAAATTGTTTCTTGGCATTACTAAAGGCCTCTTCCCCCTGCGGAGACATTCCATTCGAGCACATTATTGTATAGATGAATGAATTTCTTCATGCGCAAAATGTTTCCCAATCTAGTGAACCAATCACTTTGCAGAATTCTTTCTCCTATGAAGGCACGCTTGGCTGCCAACTACCTGCAGGTAGTTTCATTTTCATGTCCTACAAAATTGAAAAGTTTCAACCTTCGCTTGAGTACATCGCTAACAAATTATTCATTTGATGAACAAGCATTAAATGAAGCCATTCATGTCATAATACATTTATATGAAGGGATTGCTTGCTCAATCACAAATACGGAGATGTAAACAAGTAATCAAATTATATTATGAAACACAGAACATCGAGTAAAATTAAAATGAAAAGAAAATATCAATTGTTTCATCAACCAAACGCAGCAAGACTCATTGCCCATCTGCTTATCATACTTAACCATGCCAAGTGTCTCTCCAATTACTATAATAGATAAATCTGTTATAGCCTCTTGTGCCAAGTGATTCTCTCTACTATTGCACAATGCCAATCTTTTCAATATAACAAAGTGCACATCAAAATTACTTACATATTGAAGAAGCAGGTACTCAGAAGAGGCTGAATATAGATCCTAATTAATCACATGGAAACACCAATTAAAACAGTCAAATTACAATAAAAATAGATACAATTTCCATTGAAAACACTCAAACAAAATTAAAAAGGTCATCCTGTTACAGGTAAGAAAAAACTACTACTGGTAAAATTTATCTTGCTAAGGAACAAGCTATTCAATGAACCACTCCAAATTTATCTTGCTAAGAAAAAGGAACAAGCAGTATTATTGATGCTTGATGTTGGCAGAAGTGTGTCCAAGTTGAAAGAACACTAACAACCAATCTAATCAAAGTAAACCATCATTCCTGCTTCTAGTTAACATATGAACACTAGACGCTAAACTTCAACACAGAGAAATACCACATCCAATTTTCACAATTCATTCATAATTTTAACAATATACAGTCAATCCTTGCAACTTCCCACAACACAACCGAACCCTAACTTGCATTCCCATCTCAAACCTTTCTGAAATCACAAATACCAAAATCCTTATTTTTCCAAATCAACGAAGTGTACCCAAAATAATTCACTAAATTTCATCTAAACTAACTAACAATATAAAATATCAACCATTCGAAATAAAAAATAAGAAAGAGTAAACACAAACAAATTCTTCGTACCTGAGATTCTCTCTGTTTGTTGAGTTCTATGAAACTTGAAAGCTTCAATACTCAAACAAAATGCGAAATAAACAATCATAGAAAAAACGCATCTCCAATTCCTCATTTTTGCAGACTCGCCACAAATCCAAGATCAAGAAAAACCCAGGACCTTATTATAAATCTTCAACCACCGAGAAAGGAACATGAAACTTACTTATATTTAATAGAAGCAAATTGGGTAGAAAGTAGAGATTTATAGTTGAAATGTCACTGGACAGAGTAGTTGCAAGAAACACCTGAATAAATTACGAAGACTCATAAACCCAGTTCAAAAAAATATAAGGTCCACAAATAAAGTCTTACTTCATTTTTCTTGTAACGTATCCCTTCACTACGCCAGGACACTGCATTTGTTACAGCCATTGGGGCAACATTAGAACTGAATCTGTGAGTAGCGAATAGGAAGGGTAGGGGGATTTGGGGCGAGGAGGAACGGAGTGGAATTGGGGATTTTATTAGGGTTGGAGAGGAATGAACGATTGTGTGAGATGAGGGTTTGGGTACAAAAGTTTTGGCAATGTTTGACAAACGTTATTGAAGGGAACGTTGCGAACAACACTCAATAAACGTTGCAAAAAGGGGGTTTATGGCAACATTCTTCTAAAAAACGTTGCAAAAGGTATTTATTAATATCTATGGCAACATTCACTTATTAAAATGTTGTCAAAAGACCCTTTTAGGTCTAGGGTTGTCCGTGTGTCGGTTCGGTTCGGTTCGGTTCTGAAGAGACCCGAACCGACCTAAAACTTTCGGGTATTTAATAAATGGACCCGTCGGGTCCAAATATAAATATATAATCGTTCGGGTTCGGTTCGAGTCTGTTCGGTTCCGTTCGGTTCGG